TTGGACTAGGTGACCCACAGAGGTCCCTTCCAACCCCAAACATTCTGTGATTCTGTGACCGTGCCATCAGCCACGCTGGGGCTGGCCCCGAACCCCACCAAAGGCACCTCTGAACCCTGCACGCTGCTGCCCCGCAGTCGCCTGGGGCAGAAGATGAAGCCGGCATCGCAGCTGCAGGAAAGGCTTTTCTCACCTCAGGTGTCTTGAACCCCTTCCTAAGCCTCCTCCCAAGCCACAGCGAGCTCTCGCAGGAACGGTGCCACCACAGTCATGCCCTCCTCGAGTCCAGCAGCTGGGCACCTCGCTTCAGGATGCGTCGAGGTGAAGGGGGATAAAGAGGGAAAAATGGCTCCCTGAAAGGAACTCAGGAGGTGAAACCCACGAGCTGAGTTCACGCGGGGCACATGTCAGGCCCCCCCTCAGCTTCGCTGGCTTCATTCAGCAGACACCAGCGCCGACTTCTGCCCCGCACGGGCTGGAAGCAGGCAGCAGGCAGCCAGCGAGCGCGGCAGGCTGTCTGCTCTGAGCGCGGCAGCACTGGCACGCCGCTCCGAATGCGGTACGAGGAGCCAAAGGAGCGGCGTTACCTCGGCTCTGCTGGTCCCGGGCTGCTGCTCAGAGATGGGCAGGGGTGGGGTGCTGGTCTGGTGTGAGTAACGTCCCCCTCTGAGGGGACCCAGAGGGATGTGCAGCCCTCTACCACCCCCAGAGCAAGTGAAAACCGCACCGGTGCGGGAGTCTTGCGTTTCTCTATGGCGAGATCCTGGGTTGGTTTGGGAGATGCTAACTTCAGCGGACCAGATCGTGTGAGAAATATGGGGCTCCTGCTCTACAGCAGCAGCAACCAGTTACTGGCAGAGTACAGCTCCTTCCTCAAAGTGGTGCCATCGGCTTCCCTGAGAAGTTGTGACACTGGAGTTTTGTTGAAGGTTTTTTATGATCCGATTTAGCTCAAACCAAAGGGCACTGTCCAACAGCTGTTTTCATTGCACTGTATGAAGCACCATGAAAGCAAGTATTTATTTAGTGGGAGCAATACGACTAAGGTGCCTTCAGCTGTAAAAAGCTTTGCCTATTGAGCTGTTCCGATGACAAATTTGCAACATAAACCCTGGGTGCCTGAAGAAACTGCTTTAGAAATTTCATTTGAAACATTTCTATTTTCTTCAAGAACAGCTCAGTTAAACTCAGCTACTCACCCATTAACAAAAAAATGCACTGTGTATTTTTCGTGTACTGATCACCTTCCCAGCAGCAGACAGGCACTCTTGGCCATCAGGTACCGCAAGTGAATGTCTGGAATTCACCCAGCTTCAGCTGAAGAACTCTGTCGGAGTTGTCAAGTTCCCTTTCAATAGGATACGAGTCCCTCGAACTCCCCTGCAGCTTGGCAGCAGGGGCCGTGAAAGGGACCGCACCTCTGTCTCGGCAGCTTCTCCACCAGGAGCAGCCCATCTTCACAGCAGTGCAGAGAGGGGCCAGGCTCAGCGCATGGCAAAACGCAGCCCCTTCCCTTCCCTTCCCTGTCCGAGGCCGCGGCTCGGACA